AACCTTAGCACAAAGCTACTAAATGTGACAAAAGCTAGCTATACATATCAAAACGCTAACTCAAAGTAACAAAAAGTAAACTAAGAAGCTAAAAACAGCTAACTGTTACATAAAGACAAAAGTAGCCAAACACTAGCGCAAAGATAACTAAATGCAGCAAAAAGTAAATGTGGTAAAAAGCTAGTTAGAAGTATCAAAAAGCAAATGGAAAACACTAAAACCCTAGCTAAAACTAACAAAGGGCTAACTAAAAATAGAGGTAAAAAGTGTCAGAGGTAAAAATGTAACAAAATTCTACCTACAAACAGCAAATTACTAATGTCAAAAGTAGCAAAACCTTAGCTAATAGCTAAATGTAGCATAATAAGACAACAACAGAGTTCGTTATATCACTATAGACCTGTCGATATGTCACTCAGCCCTCTGTGAATAGCAAGCGGCCATCGGGGCACTAACGATCCATTGTTAGGCTGATGGTCCTCCTTTTACATGTGAACAACTAGTTCTGGCTGTCTGCAGCAAACTGATTGATCCACTGTGAGAAGGCACTATTTATAAGACAGAGTTTATTGCAGCTCCTCAGACTGAAGAAGTCTTTTGGATGAAAGACAAAACGTTTCAACAAGAAGAATCCATCCAGAGGACCTGACTTTACTTTTTTCTCTACCTGGATTATTGAGCATGCAGTAGATACAAATGAAAGCTAGTTATGCAGCATGTGCTCAAAAAGCCTTGTGTACGCGCTGATGATTTACAACATCTTTAGATCCTTTAGGATGAAGAGCGTTGTTAGAGGCCATTGATCGTTCCACGCGTATTTCATTTACAGAACACACACACGCACTAAGTGCTGAAAAGCATCGTGAACCTGCTGTAATAGTCGTCCACCTCTGAGTGTAATCCAGCTGGGTCAGCAGGGAGATAAGTACCGACAGAGACAGAGGGGAGACATTTTAAGTTGCGCGCCGCGCGGCAGAGTGGACTCAAAGTGCTTATTGATCAGAGCTGGCTGTGCTTGATGGATGGATGAAATGTTATTAGAGCCTCGGCTGCTGTAGTTATGGAGAGCCATGTGTTGAAACCGAGGGAGGATGACGAGATGTTCAGAGGGAGGGAAGAACTTTTAAAAAGAAAAGTTATGGTGTGAGGAGCATCACATGATCCTGAGGAGTCGCTCGGTGGGGGGGGATGGTGCTGTGAGGAAGACTTGTCGACGCCTCCATACTTCTTTCTCTCTGAAGCTTCGAGTCTTCTTCTCTCCTCTTGTTGTCCCAGCAGGGCTGATGGTGACTGAAGCTCTGATAAAACAAGGACACCACGAAGGTTCACTAGAAGAATGAACATGTTCATGGAGGGCGTTTGGAATAAAGTTATTCTGCTTTGTCCGTTTAACAAATCAACACATGTTGGACGTATTCTTGTTGGCTCGTTGTGCTGCTCAGTGGTTCCCAACACTGGTCCTTGAGGAACACCGTCCTGCATGTTTTACACACCTGATTCAGTGGTTTAATTACTTCCTCCAGTTCGTCAGAGGACCGTCAATCACCCTTTCAGTCACATCAGGTGCGTTGGAGCAGAGGAATAACTAAAACATGCAGGATGGTGTTCCTCAGGGTCCATGGTAAGGAACCACTGATTTATTTAACCACCATCCTTTACAAAAAACTTCTTTCAGCTGTTCTGTCTTCAGGTGTCTCCACAGCGAGTCCTCCTCCATCTCTGTCCTCACCAACTACCTCCCTGTCCTCTCTAACTGCATCCACATATCAGATCTTTGTCTTTGTCCTGGCAGAGCATTTCTAACGTCTTCTTCTTTCTTCCACTGTCCCTCCTCTGGACATGTCCAAACCACTGTCCCTCCTCTGGACATGTCCAAACCACTGTCCCTCCTCTAGACATGTCCAAACCACCGACCCTCCTCTGGACATGTCCAAACCACTGTCCCTCCTATGGACATGTCCAAACCACTGACCCTCCTCTGGACATGTCCAAACCACTTACCCTCCTCTGGACACGTCCAAACCACCGACCCTCCTCTGGACATGTCCAAACCACTGTCCCTCCTCTGGACATGTCCAAACCACTGACCCTCTGGACATGTCCAAACCACTGTCTCTCCTCTGGACATGTCCAAACCACTGTCCCTCCTCTGGACATGTCCAAATCACTGTCCCTCCTCTGAATATGTCCAAATCAATGTCCCTCCTCTGGACATGTCCAAACCACTGTCCCTTCTCTGGACATGTCCAAATCACTGTCCCTCCTCTGGATATGTCCAAATCACTGTCTCTCCTCTGGATATGTCCAAATCACTGTCCCTCCTCTGGACATGTCCAAACCATCTCAGTGTGTCCTCTCTAACTTTATCTCCCAGTTGTTCAACCTGTGCTGCACCTCTGAAGATCTCATTCCTGATCTTCTCCATTCTTCTAAAGAAGTTGAGTCATGTCCTCTGGATGGATTCTTCTTGTTGAAACATTTTGTCTTTTTTTCAAAAGACTTCTTGAGTCTGAGGAGCTGCAACAAACTCAGTTTTATAAATAGCACCTTCTCACAGTGGATCAACCAGTTTGTTGCTGACAGTCAGAACTTGTTGTTCACATGTGAAAGGAGGACCATCAGCCTAATGACAGATCGTTAGTGTCCTGATGGCCGCTTGCTCTTCACAGGGGGCGGAGTGATGCTAGCAATAACAGCATGGAGACTCCGCCCCTGTTTAATGATGGACGGCCAAAAGGATGGCCCGGCACAGAAGAGCAACACCATGTGGTTTACACTGATCTGCAGGCCAGAGGTCACTCTTTCAGGGATGAAGATGTTCTCATCCTTGATAGAGAGGAACGATGGTTTGAGAGAGGAGTGAAGGACGCCATCTTTGTGAAGAGAACCTGTCCACTGTTAAACAGGGGCGGAGCCTCCATGTCCAATCTCTGCTCCTCGTAGCCTCCACAACCTTTGCAGCAAACATACAACTGACAGCTGAAAGTTTATGCTGTCAAGTTTATTCTTTTAGCTTTCAGCTACAATTTTTTTTCTTAATTAAAGTTTTAGCTACACCTCTGTTAAGTTTTGCTTGTTGTAGAGTTTTGCTGACTTTGGCTATCAGCTGAAGTACTGCTGATTTTAGCTTTTGTTCTGCTTGTTTTGACTGCAACTATTGAGTTAATGATACATTCTACGAAATATTTCCAATGAAACAATGCATCACAATAAATATACGCCGACAGGAAGTTTTTAAATATTACGTGTGACTGTGCACATCCACACAAACCCAAGAAGCCGTGCTTGTTCATGCTCAAATTCAAAGGACCTATACAAGTGTATTATTTGTTCATATTGCAAGTCTTGAAAAACAGTGTTATGGGGTAAAGAAACTGATATTTAACATTTTTATGGAGTTTAAAATGGATTCTTATCTGAAAAACACACACTGGGTAGTAGTTTAAATCAGAAATACTTCAAATATCTGTTTCGAAGTACAGAAATCCCAATAGATCGATACTTTATTAATCCACCGTGTATATATATATATTTATATACACACATATGCAATGTACATATATAACATACATGGATTTAGATATTCTTGATAGTTCAAACGTCATTTATATGTTTTAAAATGTGATATTTGACATTTGTTGCACCTTGTTTGAGAATCTGAAGTTCACTAAACTCACTACACCCAGAGGTTCAGGCCTCTCAGGGGACTGTGGCTCGTCAGGAGCGTGAAACGAGTTTTTGTAGCACGCCGACTGGAAACTAATTCCTCCTGCAAACATTTATTGTGTGAAAAACCATCCGGAGTGGGTGTGAGTCTCACGTGTTTATGTCCAGAAACAAACCTTTTCCAGTTTCTCTTCCAAGGTGACCAAAAATATTATCGACTCTGTGCAAGTTCCCATCAGTCTCACATCCTTAGGCCGCCGCTCTGCCAAATGTGGACCCCCCGGGGCGTCCTCGTGTCCTGCCTCGTGTGGAGCCCACAGAGGCCGCTTCACGTTCAGGAGACTGTTTCCTAAACAAACAATGCACGGCTCAAAATAACTGCAGTCAAAATAGAGACGGCTCTGTTTGTTGCAAGACTTTTTAATGTTTTAACGCTTCATTCGAAGGTCAAGAAGTACTATTTGAACTTGCAACCTTCCTGAAAAGAACCCATTGTTTAGGTTGATAAAACACTCCTCGATTGAAACTGATGCCAAAACAAATTATTTAATTTATTGTTTTATATGTTGTATAAACTTATTATTTTATGTTGCACTGTGGCATTCAGAGTTTCTTTAAGTGTTACGTAAAAAGAACAGAACGAATGGTTTGCACAATAAAATCACTCATTTTGTGAAGGACAAACTTATTTTGTTTGTACAGTTTGAGGAAAATAAATACTTTTTAAAAAGTCAATGTGCATTCTAATGCTTATAAATGAGTTAACATAAAGAAATAAACTGTTTATTTTTGATTTTTTTAAGACCTAAATGTTCTGAAAAATAGGGCCACATGTGGCTCCACAGCCACTTTTCAGACCCCTGCCCTAAACAGACGGAGTGAAAAGGGGGAATTGGAAATCCCCTCCGGTGACACGGTGGCACAGTTGACAGAGCTGCCGCCTCTCAACGAGTAGGTCGCCGGTTAAAATCCCGGCTGGGTGGAGTTTGCATGTTCTCTCTGCGCTGCATGGGTTTTCTCCGGGTGCTCCGGTTTCCTCCCACAGAGCAAAAACATGTATGTTAGGCTGATTGGTAACTAAATTGTCTCTATGGTGGTCAAGGCCACCATTGGCCACCCCCTGAGTCCACCACTGCACCTGGTGGTGGATAAAATGTCTCCCTCCACTCTCCAGGATCCGTCACTCTGCGCCGCCTCGGACAAGGAAAAATCACACCTCTGTTGTTTTCCACAATGTAACTCCTGCCCACTCGAATATCTTGCAGCAAAAACATTAAGGTTTACTTGCATTCCCTGTTCAATTCCAGTCTCATCTAAAAGAAAAAAAAAAAAAACTACAAACTTTCACTATTTAAATCCCTCGGCGAGGGATGGTTGACGAATAATCAGTTGGTTTGGAGGCGATTATGCTCCACGATTCCTGAAGATGTGATTTAGGTTCTGATGAGGACTCAATCTTTCCCACTCTGGAAATGCCTGACCAGCTTCACTCGTCTCAGTCCACCTCAGCTTCAGCTCCAAATGTGTGTGTGAAAAGAGGATAAAACAGAAAGAGATCTTTATTATCACCAAGAGTGTGTTTCATGTTTAATGCATACCTCTTTACATGTGCACTTGCATTCATTTGCTCCTTTTCTTTGCCCATGTGTGTTGTAAAATTCAGCCCGAGGTGCCTCTCTTCATTCCCCCCCTGTCTCTGCACCGTTGCTGGGATTCCTGCTTGTGTAAAGCCTTAGTCAGGAAATGTCACTGTTGGCATCTGACGACAGCTAGTGCGCCAACCCAAGCGTGCCTCCCAGCCACCTGCGGCCCCGGCCTCCTCGGCTGCAAACACTGGCCTGCTTGTTTGTTCCCCGACCGTTCCTTTGCCATTCCGCTCCAAAGTCGGCCTGTCTGCTCTGCCCCGAGATCAATCAGGTGAGCACAATAGCATTTATAGGGGTGTTTTTGACTGGTGGAGCTGCAGAGGAGTGGCTGCCATGCAGCTGCACCGGCCCAGCTGAGCTGCCCGAAACAAAAACACAAAGTCTCCCGTCAGACACATGCACACACACATGCACACAAACACTTTAATGATTAAAATGCTGCTGTTCCACAAAATGCATTTCCATTTTCCTAAAAAAAAAACGTCTAATTTATTCGGAAAAGAAGAGCTTTAAGTTGCAAAAATCATTGCAATATAACTCGAGATCTTCAACTTTTAACTCCAGATCAATTCTAAAACCATGAAGGTTTAAGAAAAGTGAAGTCGAGACGCTTTTAAAAAGGGATAAACGACTCTGGCTCCATCTTCTACCTCTTATCCGTGGTCTGATACACTGCTGTAGTTCACAATTTTATGCAACAAAACACAGTCGGACAAACAAAAATTGTGCTTTTCATTTACTGATGAAGGTGAAAGTTGGAGGTAATAATGATGATGTCATCATACCAGAGCAAGAGTTTGTAGAATAATGGCAAATAACTGAGATGTGTTTACTGTATCGTCTGTTTCCACGTGGACTTTGTTGCAGAAGGTTAAGTTGGTGATACGTCAAGAACATTATAAGAAATTAAAGCATTTACTAAAGGAATTCATATCGTCTGTCGCCTTTCTAGCCAGAATTTTAGATCTCATGTTGAAACATTTAAAGCTGGTCAAAACTTAACGTTTATATTATGTTGAGTCTCTCAGGAGGCGGAGCAGGGCAACAGTTTGTCAGACACTTTCAGGACATTTTCCACTTCCATGCGCAATTGCGAGCGCGATTATTCAACCAGAAGGAGGCTGCTGCTGTGTCCCCTCCACCTCACTCCAGCCAACAGGACCTCCTGCTCCACAAAAACGCTGAGATAATCTCAACAACGTGGACCAAAAACCATCTGAGAGGGCTCGTGCAATAACACTAAACTTTAACCCGACTTTACGAGCGCGTCCCTGATCCAGGTTTTTCTACGTTCGTGTCCTCAGAGAGCGGAACAGAACAGAGACGGTCTCACGCAGGAGGAGGGGGGATGGAATTGGACAAGTTCAGAGAGACTCCGGAGCTGCAGGGAGTGAGAGATCCACAAACTACTGACACATATTCAGCTGCTTGAAGGCACCATGAGCAAGAAACTTTGTGGGACCAATTACCCGCTCAGCATCTGCTTCGTAGTGGTGAATGAGTTCTGTGAACGCTTCTCCTACTATGGCATGAAAGCGGTGCTGACCCTGTACTTCCTCAGCTACCTGAAGTGGGACAAAGATCTGTCCACTGCTGTCTACCATGCCTTTAGTGGCCTTTGCTACTTCACACCCATCCTGGGAGCCGTCATTGCCGACTCCTGGCTCGGGAAATTCAAAACCATCATCTACCTGTCTGTTGTTTACGTGATCGGCCATGTGGTCAAATCTGTGGGAGCCATTCCCATCGTGGGGAACAAGGATGCACACATAGCTCTGTCCATGCTAGGTCTGATTCTCATCGCTTTCGGCACTGGAGGAATCAAACCGTGCGTGGCAGCATTCGGAGGAGACCAGTTCGACGAGCAGCATATGAAAGAAAGGCAGAAGTTCTTCTCCATTTTCTACATGTCGGTGAATGCTGGAAGCCTCCTGTCCACTTTGATCACACCCGTACTGAAAGAGGGCGTGGGGTGTTTTGGTGAAGACTGCTACGCTCTTGCCTTTGGAGTTCCCGCTGCTTTGATGATAGTGGCATTAGCTGTGTTCATAGCTGGCAGCAATCTGTACAAGAGGAATCCACCTCAGGGAAACATCCTGCTGCAAGTCTGCAACTACATTGGTTTTGCCCTCAAAAACCGCTGGAACAGCTCCAAGTCCGACCCAAAGAGGGAGCACTGGTTGGACTGGGCAGAAGACAAATACTCAAAGCGTCTAATTCAGGAGATCAAGATTGTCCTGAGGGTTCTGGTGCTCTACATCCCCCTGCCGATGTTCTGGGCTCTTTTTGATCAGCAGGGTTCCCGTTGGACTATTCAAGCCACAAGGATGAACTTGGCTTTTGGAGAATCCTTCATAATTCAGCCTGATCAGATGCAGATGCTGAATGCTCTGATGATCCTGCTCTTGGTGCCCATCTTTGACCTCATCGTATATCCGCTCATTGGCCTGTGTCGAGTCAACATCACGCCTCTCAGGAAAATGGCCACAGGGATGATTTTTGCAGCTCTCGCCTTCAGAGCAGCCACATTGGTGGAAGTCAACGTTGTGAAAATGGTGGTGGAAGCAGCCCCTGCAGGGGAATGTCTCCTGCAGGTCATCAACCTGGCTGAAGGAAACATCAAAGTGATTGTTCCTGACAGCACCCTGTTTCCAGACACCATCCCACACCTTCAGGACCCTCCTAAATATGAATTACTCCCCCTCGAGGCTTCCATCAGAAAACTGGATCTTGAGGTCTCTGTTCTTGGCGCATCAACAGTGTGCAATCTGACGTTTAAGGAGCAGAAGGTATATAGTCTCATCGTTTACAAAGAAACCACTGAAATCAAGTGCAAGCTGGTGGAAGACCACATATATAAAAATGAAAACGGGACTCCTAATGTGTGGTTCCTCAACATGCGACCGGAAGCCGTAAACGTAACTGTTGGAAAGGAGAAGTTTTTTGTGCCCCCTGAATACAGCGTGTCTCCTAACAGGAGCATGAAACGAGGAGATTACTCAGCAGTGGGCTGCAGCTTCCAGTCTAAGATGTGTGAAGAACTCAACCTGGGCCTGCTGGACTTTGGAGCTTCCTACACTTTCATACTCATAGAGGAATCGGGGAAAATCGTTGCTAGAAAGATGGAGGACGTGAAAGCCAACAATGTGCACATCGCCTGGCAGATCCCTCAGTACGCCCTCATAACTACAGGAGAAGTCATCTTCTCTATCACAGGCATGGAGTTCTCTTACTCGCAGGCTCCCACCAACATGAAGTCGGTCCTGCTGGCCGGCTGCCTGTTCACGGTTGCGTTCGGGAACGCAATTGTGCTGACTGTGGCAGAGGGCGCCGGGTTAGAACAGTGGAAAGAGTTCCTGCTGTTTGCCGGCCTCCTGCTGGGCGTTTGCATAATCTTCTCAATCATGGCTGCCTTTTACACGTATGCCAACCCCGAACAGCTAGACAAGATTTACCCGGAGGACTCGGAGAAGGACGAAGATGACGACCACATGAAGAAGAAAGACACGCTGATGACAGAAACAGGAAAGAGAACCAGACAGTAATTCTGCAACGTGACATTCCGAGCAATATTTTAGTTCAGCTGCTTTGTGGCGTACATTTTGTGGTAAAAGACAAACTAAGATGTTTGACATTTCTTTGCTGTTTTGAATTCCAGTATTTGTGGCATTGTTCAAATAAATTCACTCTAGTGTTTTTAATTCGGGAAACTATTTAAAATATTTATGGTCATCCAGAAAACAGAATTTAACAGATATAAAACAGGTCATCATCTGCGTAAAGATTAATGTTAATGTAGCTGGTAAAGTTTAGAATCTATAGTTGTTGCATTCGTTGATGTTTTTATCATATTAATCTATAACATCAAAACAATTAAGTTACACAGTTTCTAAAAGAGTGGGGAGTGGTGGCACAGAGGTTAGAGAAGGTGGGCCTATGATCGGAAGATCGCCGGTTCAAGCCCCGGTACCGACAACATCAAAAATGTGGGTGGGGTAGGTGAAGCACCCACACCTGCTCCCACCTTCATTCGCCCCGCTCTGGGCCCTTTGAGCAAGGCCCTTAACCCCCACCATCTGCTCCTCCGGGTGTCCTAGATAGCAGCTCTCTGCTCCACACAGAGGCTGTGGTAGCTCAGTGGTCTGTGGTTGCATCAGGAAGGGCATCCGGCGTAAAAATAACTGCCAAGTCTTCGTGCGACTTAGTTCGCTGTGGCGACCCCTGAAGAAGGGAGCAGCCGAAAGAAGAAAAAAAAGTTTCTAAAAGAAAATCTGAGCCGATGTTTGTCTTTTTTAAACAAAGAAAAAGGGTTTCTAAGGGACCGTTTACACAGCGCGTATTTTGAGTGAAACCGCACCTTTCTGCGGTTCGGCTGTTCATTTACACGATGTTCGCCCCCTCTTTGAATCCGGAGGTTTCTCAACCCACCTCTCAGAGTGGAGGTTTTCGAGGCGACTGCCCGCTGTTATGTAAACATCTCCCGCAGAGGTGTGAAAGCACATGCATCCTACACGGCACCCCATAGTTGTATATTTCACGCAAGCATGGACCAATGGCATATTTCTATCAACAACAATTGCGGCTGAGCTTTTCTGAGCTACGAATGATGGAATATATTTTAGGTCTTGTAGGTAATCTATGCCGGAATGTAGCTGCTGTGACATCCGTGTTGGGAAGAGATGCCAGTCGGGTCCAGTTTAAAATCGCCATTTATTGAACGAGCCTGTCGAGGCAGGCGTATATTTCAAGCGTCCCGCTGGACTATAACATACTAAATGTGCTAAATAATAACAGTTTAACAATAATAAACAGTATTTCTGTTAGTGATAGGAGATACAATGAAGCTATCTGAGCTAAATGAAGATATCTGGAAATTATGTAATTCAAGTTATGTGATTTAAACTTTGTTGATGATGTGAAACATATTGTATGTTATTAAAGATGACAATGAAGACATCAAGTTAAATTTTTATTTATTTATTCAACACCACAAACTGTATGTCACACAAACACTGATAATTATACTGAACACACTATTAAAAACACGTTAACCGAACTGTAAACTGAACTGGACCCTTCCTCTCTGTTGTCATCCTGGATACTGACGCCATGTTGTTTATCTGGCTTGTTCAGGCTGTCACTCCTTTGCTTAATGCAGCTTAAAACATTGCATGGATTAGAAAAAAGAACTGAGGGGAATTTTTCTATGTCCTCCCGCAGCTCCGAGCTTCGGGCTGAGGTGTTCGTTCAGAACTGGTTTGCCTCTGGTGGGAGGACAGCTTCTCCTCCAAGGAAAAATAAAAATAAAAACTCGGTTGGTTGTTGTGTAACTGAAGTAAACACAAGCAAACATTTTTAAGTGCGCTGATTTACCTGCTGTAGCACAGTTTGACGGCTACTGATTACCACCAGAGTGGACCGACATAATTCTCGTCGGTTCTGGTCCGCTCAGCGACCGGTGTGGAGCTGCTAGATGAAGCGGTCCCGATTAGCATCAAATCTGTCGACTCGTATCCAAAATCCGGCTTTAACTTGTTGTTAAGTTGTTGTTAGCTGGGCTTTCAGCCCAGAGGAAGGACCTTACAGACGGCTGTCCCGGGCAGCGCACATGCACATTAGGTGAATGTACAAAATTCACAGCGCCAACTAATGACCTGGCATGGCAACTACAGCAGATTCGGGGGTTTTGCACAGATTCATGTAAACACTGAAAATGCTGTGTCAATGCAGATTTTTTCCTCCAATCAATATCCGATAAAACTTATGCTTCTCCCTTGTGTCTGTTTAAGTGGGGCCTAAATATGCAGGGTGGCACTGTCCTGAACGGTTTACTGGTGCACACTCAAGTCCCTCATTTACAACTACTGCCTGTATCTTTTGTAAAACTTTCAGACAAACTGATTTATTTGCTTTTTATTTGCAATGGGAACACTTCAAATACTTTCTGAATTCAAGACCAAAAACATGCATGTTAGGCTGCCTTCCGGCCCGGGTCTTCCTTGCAAAATAGATCTGTGATCTCATTGGGATTTCCTGGTTAAATAAAGGTTAATAAAATACAAACATATTGTGCTGGAAGAAAAAAAAACAGTTAAAACGTGTAAAACTACAAATAAAATCCTGATTCATTCTGAGCTTTATGACCATATTTTATGGTTTTTATTTAGGGAAAAGTAAATTATGCTGCTCCCTATAAACTATTGTTAAAAAAAAAGGTAACTGTGTTGCTAAAACTTGCTTTTGTTGTTTTAAATGAAATGGGGCAGCTGTGGCTGAGTGGTTAGAGCAGTCGTCCTCCAATGCAAGAGTCGGGGGTTCGATTCCACCAGCAGTCGCATGTCAAAGTGTCCCTGGACAAGACACTGAACCCCTCATTGCCTCCCATGTGTGTCCCATCGGTGTATGAATGTGATAAAGCACTGGTTTGTAGATATACTGTAGTAGAGTGCTGTATGAATGGGTAAATGAGGGCACAGACTGTGCTGTAAAGCACTTTAAGTATCTTGAAAAGAGAGAAAGTGCTGTTCATTTACCATTTACCAACTCATGCGATACTTTTTGTGCTCTCACATGATCTGGTCGTGCTCAGAGTATGTGTTAGCCAGGACTCCCAGCTCGTACCACAGAAATGTTTAGCTCCATATCTATATAATTCACAGAATTATAACCGATTCTGCGTACGCTCATTTTGATGAGCTGTGGCTAAATGCTGGGTCGGTTTTATTATTTAAAATTACACGTTTTGGTCAATTCAGTGGGGTTTCATTTTATGTCAGCTAAAGTATGTAGAAACCTCATTTTAGTGAACTGGAGTTTTCTGTTTAGAATTTGGACCTTTCCCGAGAACACTGTCATTTACGTAAATGAAGACTCTTTTAAAGCCCCCGCTCAGATTAGCATGTATTCTTCTCCAAACACGGACGCCGTAAAGGAAGCCCCACCTTTTACAAGCCAGAGGAGCATCATGGAGACCAAAGGGTGTTGTGGGAGGCACTGGTTGGTTGTAAACGAGCACAGAGGAGCCTTGTTGATCCTCTTACTAACTGCTCACATTGCGCCGATTTTGAGTAAACCCTCCTATTGTTGTCAGCAGGACCCTCTTAACCCACATTACCATTTATATCCCATTTTCCTCTTCATTTCCATGCTAATTTCAGAGCACAAAATAAAGCCTGTTATGCCATTCAGATGCTTCTATCCATACAAGGGGAAAACCAGCGGGACGGGCCTCGGGGCGTGCCCCCCTGCCCCACAATTTCACCACTGCTTCTGCTAATTCAAAGTCAGGACGTGTGGATGATAGGGCTGCTTGGCGCTCTGATGACAAAGATGTCTATTGTGGTTTTGACAAAATGCCATGGTTGGCTTTGATTTAAAAAATACAAGAAACAGATTAATCACAAGTTATTTTAGCCTCTTTGTGCCCTTCTTCTCATTTTCTGTTGGGGTTTCATGGTCTTGTGATCCGTTATCGTGCTGTTTTCACCAGGGCGCTCGTCTAATTTCGGAGAATTCCTGCTTGTAATGACTCCCAATCCATGTAAACTCTGTGGTGTAAACAATGCCTGCAGATCTTTCCACCAAAACAACATATAATCTGTTTGGAGGCCTGAAGAAGTGGGTGGCTGTGTTTAGTTTGGCTTTACACACAACTGAGAGAAACGTTACGTTCACTCAGCTCGGTGGCAGATGTTCCGCATCACGACGGTGGCAAATTAACGTTTGAAAATTAAAACCTGAAAGGAAAGAAACTGACTCAGGTCATCTGAATTCAGGAAAAGACAAAGATTGAGTTGGTTTTCTAGTGATGTTGTAGGGATCTGTAGTTTTCAAACAGAATAAGTGTTGATCTGATTATGGAGTTAAATAAAAGTCAGTGATTCTGTAACATGGTTATTAAAGTGTGTATGAATAGATGTGGCTGTAATTTAGCAGAATAAATCCAATAGATTCTGTGAATCATTCCTAACCAAACAGCATAATTGTGACACGTAATCTAATCAACATTTTGACAATTTGACCTCCCCCAGAAAAATTTTTAAAAAGTAAACGCCATTTCCTGCATTCTGGTGTATCTTTACGGGTTTTAAACATCTACGTTTACCTACATAAGTAAACACTTGATTCAATAACTACATCGGAGAGCAACAAGAAGTAGCGCTAAGCTAGCGGCGTGCAATACAGACATGTGCAACCAGAAGTTACAACATATATCTACGTTTAAAACACACACAATAAAGCACAGCTAGCTTTAATCATTAACCTTTAATTTAACCATTAAGCATACAATGTAATTATGACAAAAAATGGAGGATTTACCTGCAGTTACCTTGGTACAGATGAACATGCGGTACTACCTGTACTGTTGTATTCAGCTGTTCATGAGGTCGCCCGCCAGCCTTTATCTATTTTTTACATTTTTCCAGACTCCGTTTAGGTTTTAGAAATGGAATAAACTGCATTCCATTCTTAAACGATCTTAAACGCTGTCTGAATTACGTGTTTTCCACTGACAACGTTTAACCATTTTTTCTGATGAGTTTTC